GGATAATCGGCTTGGAGCGTTTTTTTCGTATATCAAATCGCAGAGCATCAACTGATGACTTTTTTAATTTGAAGGCAAAGCTTTCTTAATTTGCAATAAATTGGTCCAATCGGGTTAATTATATTAGAACATACACATACCTCAGTTCATGGGCTATGAAGTAGTTACACTAATTTGAACTAAAATATATTTATTAAGAAATATTGCATGTTTATACTTAAATGCGAAACTGACAAAGTGGCAACCATCTATAGAAGGAAGAAATCAGCTGAAACGGAAAAATCTAAATTCCGCAGATTTCTGCGCTACGGGCTACAACTGCATAAAATTGCTGCGGTGTTGAGTTTTTATTTACATGGCGATCTGGTAAGACAGATCGTGTCAGCTGACTCGGGTTTACGTGCCGGTAGGTTTACGTTCTTGACTAATTTCAGCTTTACTGGCGAATTAAGATTTTCGCCGCGGTACTAATTAATGTCAAAATGATGTGTTTTTTGTTATATGTATTCGCCTTGTTTACAACAAACACATCATTTTGACATTAAGTACCGCGGCGAAAATCTAAGATCGCCATTAACACCACCTTGTATAAATTCGCATTGGTCTATCCCACATTCTCTCATTCTCTCGCTGTTCGCAGTATTTCTCCACTTGACGTTTTTTGCTGTCGAATATTCTACGTCTTTCATCGAACATTCTGCCATTTTCTTCTTGTTCGCTTTTCGTTGCCGCAGTATTCGCAACAATAGCATAGAGCGTAAACCTGAATTTACGTTTTTTGATATAAATCCAATTGTTAAGGTCCGGCATCACTTGCGCTCTGTGATCGGACGTTGCCACATTTTGGTAGATCTGCCACTTTTTTGAGCATCTACTACACAAGATAGATAGATAGAATGTTAGAGGCTGTGCACTGCGACCTTAGGTCTATTGTGCCCTCGGAGCTCATCATAACACATCGTCCAGTCCCAATGCTCTGATGAATCCGAGCAGTTTCGAGGGAGGTAGAGAGT